AGAGATCTGCTTGAGGGCGGGGACTACTTTGTAGTCCAGGGTGCAGCTCAGGGTTGGTCAATAGTAAGTGGGCAGCACAACTAGATTGACCCCGGCACCTGTCACATCGACTTCAGACCTGCCTAGAGGTGAGGCTCAATCCCTGCTTCAGCATCTATCACTGTGCCTTCCGCAACTCTGAGAGTCCTGGCTGCATGCCTTTCCTCGCTGAGACTCTGTTTCCTCAATTCTAACATGGAGATGGTAAACTCCATCCTGCTTTCCCAGAAGGATGCTGTAAAGACACATTTAAAGGTGACAGTGAGAGTACTCTAAAGGGCTTTGCAAAAGTCACGGGGAATCAATATACAAACTTCTTCATGAAATATCTAAGTAGACACTTTTACAAGATAGCATTATAATATTTCTCAGTGCAGATGAACCAAATTTTATTTGGCACATACATATTTAAGCATTATGAAATTTTCAGATGTGAGGCTCCAATAATGACTGCATATTGGTATCTCTTAAGGTAACATTTTCAAGAGTTTTTGTTGAAAACTTTCATTTCTAATCAGTTGCTGATTTCTTTCCACCCAAGCCTTCAATTATTGCTACAGTGTTGCAAAACAAGTCAAGTATACAAAACATTTGTAATAGTAAAATAAGCCCAAATCATTTAGAAATGAACAAACAAATAAAAATATTATACTCTCAAAATAACAAAGTAAAATTACTCAACCCCCAAACCAGAGATTCAGTAACTTGGAAGAGAAAAAAAGTTAAATATTTTCACTAACTTCTAACTGAAACATAGCATGTCCTTTAATTATGAACAGTCAACGATTGATAGTACTGTGAGTAGTTCCTGTGACTTTATCACCAATAGAAATCAGACATTTATATGTTATAATTGTTGCAGAGATTTAAAAATAAAATTTGAAATTGCTTTGAAATTCCAGTAGTTTTAGAACCACCGCTAGGCCTTATTTTATGTGTTAATAAAGAAGTACATAATCGAAAATTTTTGAAAATAACTTAATTGTATGTTAATATGATTAGTTTTCTTTGCAATCCTTTATGCTTGGTTTTATGCATGTGAAAACATTATTCTGAGGAAAGTCAGTCCATAGACTTCACCAGATTATCCAAAAGGTCCATGGCATGAAAAAGGTCAAGAACACCTGCTCTAAACAGATAATTCATTAACATCACAGGAAGAGAATACTTAATAGTGAAATATGTAAAGTTGACTTCAACAATTATACATTTCAGAGAAGGTATACAAACAACACTTCAGAGTTTAATTATTGCAAAGAGTCAGAAAATCTATACTAATTGAACAATCTAGCTTCTCACAGAAGGCTGCGTTTCCCACTAACTCAATCTTTTGTCTCTGTACATACTGTAGGGTAAGGGAACTAGAGAAGGCGAGGTTCAGAAAAAGGAGGAGACTGGCACTTTACAGGAACAGATCACCTTTAATGAGGTGAGAAGGGGCAGCAGTCAGATTAGCGAGCAGCTGCACTCACCTAAGAAAAGAGTAAGTATATATAGGCATATATGTGGAAATATACTGTCTTAAGGGGGCGTGTTCTCCAAGATTGTTCGGAGTAGTTCTCTGTTAAACGTCTGGGGTAAGGAATTCTGGAGATCGACCAGAGGCTGGACCTGCTGGGAGCTGGGTGTAATCAACCTTAAAGTACATTTTTTTTCCTTTGGGTGAGAGAGTTTTTTGTTTTGTATAGAATGGTGGGGAGGACCGGGAAGGGAGTTTTAACTCCTGGCTTTTTTTTTTAAACTCCAGGCTATTTTGAGCCAGGCAACTTTCCTTCACATACCTCCACCCTTAGACTCTAGTCTAGAAGTAGAAAGAAAGATAAAAAAGGTAGCTTCTACTGATGATACTCAAATGCAAACATAACCTACTCTGCAACTGGTAATGTGGAAGCAAGGACTCAGGAACACTCTGGGTTAGTAGAGGCTGGGCTGGCAAACCTAGAATTTGAGGACAGTAATAAGTAGACCAAGCATTGTGGTTTAAAAAGTCAGCCCAACGTAAAAAAAAAAAAAAAAGTTAGCCCAACGTGAAGTCTTGTAAGAAACTTAGGAGTCCATGGGACAGCCTTCCAGTTTGCTTGGCAATACTCAGATTGTGCCTATGACCCAATGAGTAGGCTTACCATCCAAACAATAATGTGGAGCAACAGAGAGCCTTATACTTGAGAGCTCAAAAATATTAATATATGTCAAAGAAAATGAAATAGGGTTATTGGGCATTAAAAAAAAAAAAAAACCACACAAACAAAAATACCAACCCTGGGAAGCAAATGGAATTTCCCATTTCTCTGTGGCTGGATAAACACAAAATTTAATAGATCCTGGAGGTAACTACAGAGCTAAGACATTGCTGTCCTCTCAGATGACCCTCTAGTCTATCAGGCGCACTGTTGTCAAGTGCATTGTTCTAAAGCACTGCTGCTCTCATGCTTAAAACCTATGCTTGCCATCTTGCTCAGGACCAGGTCCAGGTTTACTAAGGTCCTTTATTTTGTGGCCTGTCTAGCTCCATCTGTTGCTATGTTTTTGCATGTGCTATCTCAGGCTGCTAAACCATTTGCAGTTCCCCACCTGTTGCCTCTAGATGTGAGCATAGAGCTATCCTCACTGGTACACTGCTCCCTGTATTTTGTCTGGCTTTCCTTTTCCCTCTAGGTTTAAGCATGGGTATCACTGAAGCTAGGAGTCCTCCCATAGTACTTCATGCTTATCTGGTCACATCACATTAATAACAGTTTGTCTCCTTCTTTAAAATCTGAGCAACCAGAGTTGGGTACCGGGTCTTTGTTGTTGCAGTTCCATCATCCAGCATAAGGCCTGACACTCAGGCTCTCAAGTGGTTGTTGAATGGTTAAACTGTGGATCTCTAATAGGATATCTTGGCAAAATCACTGCCACGGTGTGGTGACAATGGGGACATAGCTGAGAATTTTATACATTGTTCCAAAGGTTGGTGGGAGGGCTAACTAGCTTTATTTAAAAAGGTCTACAAATTTCTGTATTAATGATTCCCCTCGTGTGATCCTAAGATACATAAGAGCCCACAAAAATTATAAAGGGAACTATTTTATGTATTTAAAAATATCACAGTGGAAATGGCACATTTACCTAAAATAAAGCCAGACTAATAATGAGATAAAGTTGTTTGCTTTTGGCTGAGTCAAAGTACCAGGTTTCAACATGCTAATAAGCAGCTCAGATTAACAGATGATACATCATAAGGATTTCTAAAATCAACAGACCAGATAATCTGGTAATTTCTGATTTACAAAAAATATACCATATTGAGAGGGTATCCATGAAGTTTTGTGAAAAGATTGGGAATCTTTGGCCTAGATCATTCATTAGGATTACTACCATCTTTGTAATCATCCGAATCAGCGTATCTCTTAGATCAGGGACCTGAACCAAGTTCTTCTGGCAGGATTGAACCAGAGACACCAAGGATTTTGATAATTTGCATAGGAACAAAGGCAAGCTTCTCAAGATGTTATGTGGTAGGAAAGAAGGTTATACCTAAGGGAAACTATAAGTACACTTGGGTCCACTGAAAGGGCTAAACTGTTACTTTAGGAAAGGGGGCCAGTTTTGTTGCTTTTGTTGGAATTTTCAAGTCAAATATTTTAATGCTGTATACATTTGGGGGAAGGGGTGGTAATTTTTCTTTTTTTAAAAATGTTTTTGAAAATGTCTGGTTAATCATGCTAAAATAAAAAGGATGCAAATATTTGAGTGCCTACTAAATAGAGGAATGATTGGGTATTTCTACATACAAGGAACTGTCTCATAAACAGAAGGGGAAAATCTGTCTAAACTTGGATCAATACTTTCAAGAGGAATGACGGTGTCTCGGGGTACTTCATTCAGGAAGCAAAGAGAAGGAAAACCAAGGGACGGTGGAAGAATATAGGATAGTCATATAGTTGCTCTCTTGTTCAGTTTATCTTTTGTATTGTTTTGTTTTGTTTTGATAAGGGAGGACTTTCCTAATTGTAGGCTGACTCCTACAAATCTGCAGCATTTTGAACATATCCCTGTTTCCTTCACCTGATGCACTACAATTAAACCTGTGTCTGATTAATGAACATAAGTGTGTGCCATAAGTGGTAAATAAGACAACTGGGCTTTTTTTTCCCCTAAGGTAAATCCAGTCCATTTCTTGTGTTTTTATAATTGTATTCTCATACAAAATAAGAAAGAGACAATGACTGCTTGGCAACCCCTGAGTAATTTCCTCTTTTCCCCATTTGAATGTGTTCACATACTTTCTAACGCTCTATCTACCAAATCTAGACAACCTACTATTTAGAAAACCAAAACCTATTATCTTGTGACCAAAGCCTTACTTGGTTAATTGTGTTTTCTTTTGACTCAGAGAAAGCTAACGACTAGGCTGAAGGTAAGTTAGTGACTCACTCTTCAGTCAATTGGCACTATTGCAGTTGCCAGTAATGCCCACGTGAGTGAAAAAATAATGGTTTGCAAAGTCATTTAAGATTTCATGGTATAATGACACTGAATCACTTTAAGACTGTAGTATATTATGTTACCTGATGCCATTCTTATTTTTGTACCTGTATTATTGATAATAATAATAATAAAGGAATGATAATAACAACCATTTTCTACAAAGTTGAATCTAAACTTAGTCCTGCATCACTAGAGTCAAAGTCTTACTGTCAAAATGAAGTTTTCTCTGAAAATATCTTTAACATACTTGACATGCTTTATAACAGAGAAAAATAGTTCTTTGGAAAGATCCATCCAACAGAAAAATCTATAGTCTGTGCAAAATAACATAAAATACACTTGTGAGAAGATCATTTTTGCTTTCATTTGCTTCCTGATCATATAGCAATAAACAGACACAGAACATTTCCTGTTTATTTTCTGGGTTGGGCAGTGGAGAAAGGGAAAATCTGGAAAATCAGCTACATTATTAACTCAAATTTCAGCACATAATTATTCAAAGAAAATTTTAATGATTTCAGTTCCATACAACTGAAAATGTAGTGTATTAAAGGGTATTTTCTACTAAACTTCAAATTACAAGTTGTCGGCCATTTCTGAGCAACAGCATCATTTCCTACTGAGTATTCAGCTCATTAACTAAGGTGAGTGACATGGCAGGTGGTGGGGAAGAACAATGATCAGCTCACAGAATTTGGCTAAGAAAGGAAACAAACAAAAACAATGCAAATAATAATTAAAATAGCTACAGATATTAGTAAAATAAAAATACAATCCCAAATAGCCATCTCTTAAATTACTAGAAAAAAATTAAAGGTAAAGTTACAGCAAATACAGTCTTTACAGATTTGGGTAACTTTATTTGCATTTAATAGTGATTTTTAAGCCCTATATCCAATGAAACCATTTTAAAAAGCTCTATGAGGAATGGAAATTTAGATGTCTATTCCACTTTTCTTAAAAAAAAAAAAAAAAGAAGAAGCTTAAATTTCTGAATGAGCAAGATTCACTTTTGCAGGTAGAGGCCCTGCTTCTTCATGATCTTCAGCTTTAGATCTAACAACCACAAGAGAAGAAGCTGGATATCTGTTTAGCTTTTGTTCATTCATAAATTCCAAGTCACCATAGATACTCAGCTTCTGCAAAAGGAAAAAAAAAAATCAATCAATGAACATTAGCAATTTGGATAATTAGGAACCTCTCCAAGTAAGGTTTTAAATAGCAATTTAATATGTTAAGATTTGGTTTAAAAAAAAAAAAAAGGAAGAAGATTATAGATATGTGATTCAATTCCCAGTGGATAGTCAAATAAAAATTTTCCATATGTCCTGACTTAAAATACTTACAAATTAACAACTGAGTATCAGGAAAAATTGCTCAGGTTTAAATGGAGTAAGTGTGGTCATACCACACCTGGTATTGATTCTGGAGCATGGATTACAGATGCTTGATGCCTTGAGTGATCAATTCCTTTGAGATCTTATCTCTCCAACCAAGTGGTCAAATGATTTGGAGTAAGTTCCTCTGCTATTAAATGTTCTAAATTAACATATATGGAAAATGGTATGTACGATTTTAAGTCTGTGAGTAGAACAAAAAATATACACGAAATAGTTTAACATTGACAGAAAGGTCTTCATAAACATATAAAAGTTCAAATTGTTACTAACATATGCAAAAAGATACTAAAATGAAAGAATGAAAGCATAAACAGCATCAGGGCAATGTCATAAAACTCACTGAAGTATAATGGAAATGTCTAATATCTTTTGAAAGTACATCTATTTAGATACAGGTTAACCTTCTAAAGGTAGAAAAAGAAAAGTTTTTACTAAGAGGTGGGGTAGATTTTGTTGTTAATGCATGTGGCAATAAATCTCTGATTCTGTGAGCTAAAAACTGAAGTGCTGACATTATTGACAGGGCAACTAACTGTATTAAAAAGATGGGGACTTCTGTGCTGGTCTAGTGGCTACGACTGCACTCCCAAAGCAAGGAGCCCAGGTTTGATCCCTGGTCAGGGAACTAGATCCTACATGCTGTAACCAACAGTTCGCAAGCCACAACTAGAAGATCCCATATGTTACAACTAAGACCCAGTGCAATAAATAAATAAGTAAAAAACAAACATGTATTTAAAAAAAACAGAACCATATACAAGTATATTAATGTTGAAAAGATGCTTTTAGTAGGTGCTGAATAAAGAGCACCCTCGAAGTTTAAGTATCTACAATATCAATATGTACAACAATATAGAGTGTAATGCTCAGTGAAAGAGGCCAGTCACAAGAGACCAGACATATGGATTGTCTATGGCTGGTAAAGATGCTTGGAGGAAATGGGGAGTGACTACTAGTATGAGTTTCCTTTCTGGGGTGATGAAAATGTTCTAAAGGTGATTGTCATGATGGCTGCCTACTTGAACACATTTCTGACGTGGTCTACTGTCTACTGTTTCAAGGTAACAATAATCCTTCAACAAGGAAGTGGCCCAGTACTTGACACTTTTCCAGTTAAGAGAAAATTTTCAAGACAAATTCAATGGTTGATGGATTGGACATGGATCTGATATAGTGAGGCCTCCTTAAAATCCAAATTAATAATTTGGGTTTTATTTGGGTGATAATTTGCTCTGAGGAACAATAAAAGAAAAACTTTCACAATTCTACTTAACATTTAAAAGCCTTGAAAAACACTACTTAACATTTAAAAGCCTTGAAACAGTGACAGAAACTGTTTAAATGATTTCAAACATCTGTATGGAAGAAGCTATCTAAAAGAACAAAGAGAGTAAAATTTGTGCAGAGAATGGATGGGAGCATATGGATAACCTCTAACCAGTACCGTTTAGTGATTTTGTGGCTACTCTGTATTCTCAAGTGAAAATGAAAGTGGTCGCTGAGTTGTGTCTGACTTTGCGACCCCGTGAACTGTAGCCCACCAGACTCCTCCGTCCATGGAATTTTCCAGGCAAGAATACTGGAGTGGGTTGCCATTTCCTTCTCCAAATTATCAAACAAATACAAAGGTACAAAAAAGGTATTTTCAAATGTGTTAACTTGTAAAGTTTACTGCCCAAGTATCTTTTATGAAAAAAATTACTTAAGGAGGTATTTTGAAAGTAAAGAGGAATCTAAGGAAGAAAGAAACATACAAGAAACAGTGGCAACTGAGCTGACTTTTATGGGAAGAAAGCCAGAACAAAACAAAAAAACAAACATTCCATTAAGCAGAGAGATTTGGAAGATTCTCCTGGGAACACTTTTAAGTAATTCAGGTTTATAATTTGCTTTCATGTGACTCTAATCATCACTGTACTTGGTTCTATTTTGAATACCTACATAATCATAATATTATAAATATGGATTTTAAATTTTCAGATCAACCAATAGCAGAGTCTGAAAGCATATATACAGAAGAATGAATTTATTTTATTTCTCAAGGATTTAACTAATGAAAATTGAGAGTTAAAAGTATAGGAAGAAAGTGAAAAGCAGTAGTAAGGAGTCAATAGAAATTTATAAAGCATTCACTATAGGTATGCAAAATAATAATACACATTATAAAAACTAGGAAGTGAAGAGATTTAAGTGAGAGACAGTGTAAGGGAACTAAACTCCTCATCTATAGTAGAAGGACGTCAGATAAAAAGCAAAAAATAAAAAATTTTAAAAAGGCAATTGCATGGAAAAATGTTTTAAAACTACTGACTGGTTTATCTGAGAATTGAGGAAGAGGAAATCAATTTTATTAGTCGCTCACTGTTAATTGACTACTCAGTCGTGTCTGACTTTTTGTGACCCCCCTGGACTGTGGCCCGCGAGGCTCCTCTGTCCATGGAATTTTCCAGGTAAGAATACTCAAGTGGGTAGCCATTCCCTTCTCCAGGGGATCTTCCTGATCGAGGAATCAAACCCAGGTCTCTGGCATTGCAGGAGGATTCTTTACCGTCTGAGCCACCAGGGAAGCCCCTTATGTCACATGTATTACTTCTAAAACTTAAATTTAAATACTAAATATGTATTTGGGCTTTAGGCCTGGCTTTTCACTAACCAGTTAAGCAATCTTAGGCAAGTTATTATACATAAATCTTTTCCTAGACTCAATTTTTTTTCTTTCTTTCTTAAATTATGAAAGTAAGATAATACATTTATAGAAGACTTGGAAAATACAAAGTTATGTATAGTTCCACTATATATTACAATTATTTTTTAAGTAGATAGATTAAGATTTTTATCTGGAGTTTCAGTATCAAATTCTCAAAAATTAATAGAACGAGTAGAAAAGTAGAAGGATATAGTAGACCTGAAAAGCAACTATGAGCCAATTCATCATAATTAAGGTTTATAACAGTTTTCACACAGTAGAACACAAATTCCATTCAAGTTCTCATAGATATAAACCAAGAGACCCTGGAACATACGCAGAGGAATAAAACAAAGGGCAAAAATTTCATGGTCTAAAGGTATTAAAATCTTACAGTCTGTTCTCTTATCACAGTGGAATTATGGTAGAAATCAGTATCAAAAGATATCTGAAAATAAGTCACGTATTTTCAAGTGCAAAGTGATATTTACCAAGAGAGATCTCAGACTTAGCCATCAAAAGCCCAAGTTAAAAGACTGAAAAAACTGCAGAGAAGCAAGCATTTAAATGAGAAATAAATATCAAAATGAGAAATTAGTATTAAAGATACTTTTAAAACACCATGTATTTGGAAATTAAACGTCCCTTTTAAATGATGGATGTACCTAAGAAGCCATAACAAGGAAAGTTAGAAAATATTTGTAACAGAATAAAAATGAAAATTCTGACTTTATCAGAGTTTGTTGTATGCAGCTTTAGCTGCGCAATGCAACTAGATACAAGGTGGAATCTTGAATAACGTAAGAAAACAAGTAATGGATTCTAGCATAAAATTTTGTGAAATATGAACAAAATCTGCACTTTAGTTAATAATAGTATATCACATGTTAATTTCCTATTTTGTGCTTTGTTTTGTTTTACAACACAGTATTTCTTTATATTCTCAAATTGGATTAGAAATTTCAAGCCTCAATTTTAAAAAAATCACTAAGATAATAATAAGCTTTCTAGTCTTTAAGCAATATATTATATACCAGAATAAATGGAACTATATCAAAGTTTTGAGTGAATATAAGTTAGAAATTTAGCGTTCTATTCATACTCAGACAAGTGGAATCAAAATGTCATACATTTTTTAGCTAGGCAAAAATCCATAGGTTTTCTAAAATATATATATTATACAAACTATTTTTATATGTATGTATAAAAAAACTTACTGCATTTAATAAAGGCTTGAGAAAGAACAAAAATCCACAAAACTAAATTTCTTAACAGAATTTAGATTAAAAAGCTATGGCAGTTCTGACATTTATATAGTTTTTTGATTGTCTCTCTTGAGACTTAAAGATCCAAAACAGCAAGATTCTTGGTCTTTTTTTTTTAAAGACAAAGAAAATAATGTTTATTATAGTTTAAAACATGTTTCATTCTACTCGAGTCTTGAAACCTTTAACATTTAACTTTGTTCATCGTGATCTTATTCTTTATTGTCTAATTTCTTGAACAGGGCCTGGCACACTGGATGTTAACCAGTAAGTATGTGTGATTTACTAACGTAAATATTATTTGGAGTCTTCTAAAAGTTTTAACTGACCATGTGAAATCAGATGATCATGGGTTTGGCAAATAAAAAAGGAAACAAACAGATAATAAGATAACAGAGGCAGCATTTACATGATTACTTGTTGCTTCGGTACTTTTCTGAGGCTGCCTGATCTCTAGAAAGGAATATCCAATACTGCTGAACCCTGTTTTTATAAGTCAGGTTTGACCTGCCTGACAAGGATCACTGTGAATGACAACTCTTTACTATCTTAAATAGGTAGTTAAACAAGAGAAAGGCATTATTATTTCATGATGTTTCCCCAAAAAATGACATCTTAAATGTGAAAGAACAGGGGGGAAAAGTGGAGAAATAAGGATCAAAATCTTTATAAGTCAAGTTACTCAAAATGATACTGCATTAAGATCAACCAATGCCCACTCTTTCTGGCACTATTATTAAATAATGTATGATGACTATTTACTATGCAAAAGAGGCTAAAGATAAGTTATTTCAGAATTTTCCTAAATAAGAAGAGCAAAGCTGTTCATAAGTTTCCAAGACTACATTTCTGGCCTTTATTACAGACATTTTAAGCTTTATTTGTAGTGACTGAAAAGGAAGCTTTTAATATTTCATGTTTGAGTTCAAGATACCAGGTCTATGCTGAAGACAGACATATTCTCTCCGCAGGTTTCTGATTTCTTATAAACACACAGGATTATATATGCAAACTATATTAACAAAATATAAATAGTATTGTTCTCTGCTTATACAGGTTAAAATGCACTCTCATGTTACTATGGAGAGGGGTCAGAAGTAACTTATGTTCCAAAAATAAAATCAATGAAAAGGTTTTATGAAAGTAAATTTTAAAGTAGGTGACTTAAGTTCTCAGCTATTTTTACAGTAAATTAAGGAGAAAATATCAGAAAAGGAATATCTACATTGCAATATTTTAAAAACATTAATATGTATTGATATAGTTCAGTAAAAAGAAATCCACTAAAATGGCAATACAAAATAGTTCTGGATGAGTGATTTTTTTTTCTGCTTTTTTTCCCCTGCTTCTTTATATATAACTTTATAAATTCTATGTCAAATATATAGAATTTTTATAATTAAAAATAAAGTTGAAAAAACATTACTTACTTAGCTAGTGTGGTTTCAAATACAAAGTAAAGCCTAAAAGCAGTGAATACAAACAGCTGTCTTTGATACATTTTTCTTGAAAATGTATCTTAGAAAAGTATATGTTCTTTGAGGGTGTCACCATATTCTTGATTGTTAAGGACAAGAAGAAGAGTTCTAGAGAGGGTCAAAGTGACACCCATATGCAGATATCAGGAGGGAATGTAATAACTGCTAATATGACTCCACATGTGGTTCTAATGCTTTAGGCTTCATGATCCAGGGGTGTGGGGGGCATATGTGGAAACAGTGAGATGCTCTACAAATAACCTGGAAATAAGGGGAGAGAACTTCTCACAGAATTAAAACTATACAATCAAGACAAAATTTATCACAGCAGAGACAACATCTAAAAGAAGAAAGCTCAAAAGTCATCTGAAAAGGAGGGATGGATTCCCAGGTCTGTAAGATGTCATCAAACACCAATGAGAGGCATTGCTATGTCTAAATAACACCAGAAGATGTCAACTCTGTAAGTCAAGTAAGGAGATTAAGAGAGGAAGAACTATGAAATGTCCATCTAGGAACTGTTTTAGTAAGCGTTTGAGCATCCTGGCTCAAAAACATAAACCATGTGGTACTGGTGGTGGTCAAATTCCTAGTGTCAAAGAGGTTACACAGATGAGCTCCTGATAGGAGTCACATTATCAATTTCCCTAGTGATGGAGGGTAAAACAAAAATTTATTACTACAGGTTTGTAGCTTTGCTGCCATGAGGATTTAGAGTCATGGGGCAGTTCAAAAGTAAGTTAACAGGCAAAGGCAATCCTATATAAGATGTCTAACTTCTGCTTTATCAAGAACAAAAAAAATGATTAAAATATCGACATCAGAACTAAACAGGAACACAAGTAGGTAATAAGCAAAGAGGATGTTCAGATGGTATCATAAACAGATGAGTTCTTTAGAAATTTACCCACTCTCTGATATTTCCACAATTCAAGGCAACCCTGTCTAACTTTATCCATTTGTTTAAAAACTGTCCACTTTTCTCTCTCTGCTAATCCCTATCATTCTTCAAAGTTCAGGTCAAGACCCTCATGACCTATCCTGACAATCCAACACATACTCTCTGCTTTCCTTAACACTTCATATATTTATTATTTGTACCACTTAAATAGTTGATCAGCTGGAGGAAAGATAGTATATAGGAAAAGACATAGGAGGTGCACAGTCAAAAGACAGGAGCTTAATTCCAGGCTCAAAACTTTCATAGCTGTGCAACCCCAGGAAAGTTATCTAAACTTCACAGGCTTATTTACTCATCTACAAAATGAATAATAAAACCTGCTGTAGAGTTGTGCTGGACATGTAAGATTCATGAAAACTTTGTAAATTTTGAACAACTATATAAATATCAGTTATCAACATTATCCTATCCCAATTCTGTGTGCCTATATCCCATATGGTCTTAATAAAAAGATGAAAAATATTATCTGAATCATTATTCATGTGTAAATCTTATAGCATATCTTTATAGTCTGTGAACATAAGAGTACTGTTCAAGCATCATGCTTGGGACATGCTAACTACTTATTATCAGATTCTATTTTAATTTCCCTCCTTTCTTCTTTTCACTCTTTTTCTACTGGAATTTGAAGGCACATAAGAACTGAAGTTTACTTCAGTTGGATGTGATGTCAATAGAATTTATTATCTTATGTTTACTTACATAAATAATTTTTCTTCCTTTAAAGCTAAGTTGAATCATTAAATTAGAGGCTTTTTCTGAAACAAAAGTCCTTTGCCTCATGATTCCTGGGCCAGTTAAATTTTAATTAACAAGAAAGTCAAGATAGTGTTCCATCTCTCTCAGAGTATAGCAAAACACATTACTCAAAATCAAACACTTCAGCCTTGATGCTTCTAAAGCAACAATTATTCCTTAACATTTGTGGCAATGTTAAATTTAAAATTTGAAGTAGTTCCACAAGACTTCTTTCTTATATATCACCTTAGAAACAGGTCAATGGGTTTTTTTCAGTCTCTAAGGCTTACAAGGGGATGCCCTGGCAGTCTAGTAGTTGGGACTCTGTGCTTCTACTGCAGGGGGCAAAAGTTTGATCCTTGGTTGGGGAAATAGGACCCCTCAAGCCATGTGGCATGGCCAAAAATAAATAAATAAATAAAAATTACCAAAAAAAGACCTAGGGAGAAGAGAGACATTGAACTCAAGTCAGCCAGTGTACACTGGTCACTACAGTAGTTAGCACAACAGAAAATTGGGAAGTGATGCTTATGCTGCAAATCTGTAATTCTCATGTGTGCCAACCCCCATGTGTGTGATTAAAACCGCCAAATTTTCTCTTATTCTATTAGCAGAAAGGTTTTGCTTTTCTAGTTAAACAAAACATTTAAAAAAGGAAATGACATGGCTCAGTCTTCAGATGGCCTAAGGGTTAGAATTAAATTTACCTCAGAGGGCACATACTGCTCCACAGCTGTAGCGACAGTTGCACAGCAGATCCAGAGCAACACCATCACAGAGAGGACAAGAGTCATGGTTAAAATCCACCCAGAGTTACTGGGGAAAAAAAAATCAATGGTTTTGTTAAAATTGCATAACGTTAAAAACAGAAGGTTCTTAACAATTAAAAGCAATCAATTTTGTATACTTAGTTTAATACTACAAAATTTTATGTGTACTACCCTTAAAACTATTTAAAAAAAATACAGAAGAAAATATTATAATAGCTATTATATTAGGGTAATATAATGTCCTTTCCTCCATTTCTCAAACTTCTATAACATGGCTATATAACTTTTATAAATTAAAAAAATCAGACATATTGGCTTTCTGCTAAATATATAAAATTAAAGCAAATTACTGTTAAGGATTTTTTAAAATTACTAAATGAGATAAAGCAAATCAAAGTGTTTTGTAAACTGTATACTGCTACACAAATATATATATTTTTGCAAGGTATTATGATAACACTTGCTCTAAGAAAACCCAATACCAAAAAGAATTAATGTACAGAATAGGTAAATTATGAAACAATAACTTGTTTTATAAAAGGACTCACAACAGGCTTCCAGAAGTTAACTTCTCTATTACATTTCAAATATTTAACTTGCCGCAATTTACTTGAATTTCAATTTACAAGAGTATATCTATTATGAGGCATTCTGTATTTATCACGGCATATCTTAAAAAAAGATAGTTATATTTTTCTTATGATTAAAATATCTCAGTGTAGAAGGCTAGTTACAAGAATTAGTAACTGGAGTTTTTTCCATTATTGACCTTTGTTTGCCAAACTATAAGATTCAAAGAAAAAGCTACTCTTAAAACGTTAGATTTAAAAGAACAACATATAATGACAAAATGTTAAAGGGCAGTAAGGCATCAGTAAGATGCTAGGTAGTGTAGTATTAAGGATAAACTGTAGGGAATTCCTTGATGGCCTAACAGTTAGGACTCATTGCTCTTACTGCTGGGGCCTTGGATTCGATCCCTGGTCGGGGAACTAAGATCCTATAAGTGATAAGTCTAGTGACGTGACCACAAAGGAAAAAAAGAATAAACAGTAACTTAAGATTAGGCAATGACTTAGGTTTCATAAAACTTATCAAACTGCAACAAAAATCCAAAACACTGAATGAGAGAAAAAGTCCCCATTTTGGTACAAAATCAAAAGCAGGTTTAGAAGGAAAAGGAAGGGAAAATTTGAAGTTCAGTTCTTATTTTCTTACCCAGTCTTTAAAATAAAAAGTATCTGATATCTGATTAAAACCTGTCAAGAAACGATTTCTACTCTAAGAAATTACAGGAAGCACGCAGTGTGGACTGCTGAAGTGTTACACTTGAGACACAGCCCACTTGTTCACCTCTCTACTCAAGTGCTTGACCTGGTATCTGACATGGGTAGATAACCATCACTAAGTGCTACTGTCCCTTTTTATGGCAAGGGGCTGCAGGTGGTTGTAGGGGGAAGGCTCATATCAGAACTCCTTGGAGGAGTAGAAGGTTGCATACTTTGATAGAACCCTCCTCACTCTAGAAGTCTTCATATTTCTTCCCAAGAGGGCACAAGGTATCCATTACCCTCACCAGTCCACTTTCCCTTGCCACCCTTAAGAATCTTTGGCATGGAGATGACACTCAGTATAAAACACAAAGCCCTCCTTAATCTAAAGCCCTTACCCACCTCCCCTAGCCCCCTGTCTGGCCATGGAGATATAAAAATGAAAATCCAACCCTCAAACCATTCAAATACAAAGTCATCCCTTGGTACTCCCAGGGCAATGGTTCCAGGACTGCAACCCCCTCCTACACCAAAATCTGAGGGTGATCAATTCCTTTTTATAAGTGGCATAGATTTCCACATAACCTATACACATCTTCCTATACACTTTAAATAATCTCTAGATTACTTATAATACCTAATAAAATGCAAATGCTATATAAATACAGTTGATCCTTGAACAACTTAAGTTTGAACTATGTGGGAGAGTTTATTTTTATTTTTAAATATTTTGTTTTTTAATTGAAAAAAATTCATGTGAATTTTTTTTCAATAAATATACAGTTGGCCCTCCAACTAAATTAATTAAAGCTTAACTGAGATGTCTGAAGAAGTGCATATTGTAACATAAATCAAAGACCCCCAATGAGAACAAGAGTGTTTCTGTACTGCTGAAAAAAAACCCTTGGGTTTTATTAAAGTAGAGTGAATATCACCTTTTATTTTTTTTTTTGAGTATCACCTTTTAAATAAACCAAAATATCCAAAAGTACAGTTTTTGTAGGGAAAAGATGAAAAAAAAAGTTGTTTTTTTTTTTTTACTTTTGAGTAGTTAATATAACTTTAAAATAATAAAAAGGACTGCATCTCTCTGATACAAGCCAGATTTTATCTTCTGTATACATAAGTGAAGATAAATACATACAGAGACAGGCATCTTAAAAAGCCATCACTTTCTCCATCTTCAAGATAGTTCCTATGTGCTTGTGAACTTCTCATTTGCAGATCTGCTGAAATAATAAGGTACAAGTTAATGATATCCTATATTCCAAAAGGGGGTCTCAAATGACTGCTTCTATATATACACACTGTACCCAGTTATTGCTGTAAATGTAATCTGGCATATTTATAATGAATGCAAGTTCCTCTGGCACATTAAAAACCAACTGGATACTATACAACATTATGAATTTCCTAATTTATTTTCAAATTTTTATTGACATTGAGGCTTTCCATGTCTGAATGTAATAATACAATGGTTTGTTTAAATCTAAAGTTAAAGATGGGGTTTTCCTGGTGGTCTAATAGTTAAGAATCCGCCTGCCAAGGCAGGGCACAAGAGTTCGATCCCTGCTTCAGCAAGATCCTATATGTGGCAACTAAGCCCATGCACCACAACTACTGAGTCAGCAGTCTAAAGCCTGGGGGGCATAAAATAAATAAATCTTTAAAAAAATAAAAGATACAGTTAAAAGATTATTTTGGTGGGTGAATGATGACAGCACACTGTGTACTGTCATCATTCACCCACCAAAATAATTAGAAAGTTAATAAAATCAGTATCTAAAATAAGGAATGAGTTAATACATTTAAAAAGGTAAGCCATAGTTTTAGCTTGATGTTTTATATTTCTGTGAGTTTAAATCCACTTCTAGCATAGAAATAAAGAGAGAATAAAAACATATTTTCAGGGTAGTTTCACTATTTGGTTAGTTTATTGGAAGATACCAGGACATCTCCTTAGTTCATATTCAAAACATCCTTAAAGGAAAACGAAATGTTTTCAGAATAGTGATTCTCAAAGTGTGATCCCCAGACCAGCCAACAGAACCCAGCAATCTGTTAGAAATGCAAATTCTCATGTCTTATCCCAGATAGAGTAAATTGGAAACTTTGGAGGCGGGGCTCAGAAATGCTTTTAATAAGCTCTCCAGACCATAATTCATAATAAAGTTTGAGGACCACAGTTTTAAGTTATTTATTCACCTTCCAACAATCATACAACCAGTTCTACCACCATCAGATCAGACTGCTAATGTTTTTAATCCTAGGCTACTTAAAATAAAACTTACAGGACATTTTGCTTAGTGACGATTCTTTCAAATTTGTAGGCTCCTGCTCCAACTGTGGTGCATATTGGATTTCTGGTTTAGACTAAAACGATAAGAAAGCAATTAGGTCGTTTGTACTTCATCTCTATAGACATTCAAATTGAGAAAAAGTAATAGAAGTATGGTATAAAAAATAAAACACAGTAACTATAATATATTTTAATTGCTTGTGCTAAGCACTAGATCCAGTGTCTTGCAAAGAAACAGATTTCCATCATTGTCAAGAATAGTCAGTTTAATTTCCTGACAACATTAAAAAAAGAAAAAAAATAGATTACAACATAGTGCATTAAGTATCATACCCGATAAAAAATGAGTTCTAATTCTGGTTGATCAGGAGTAACTTGGCAGACTGCCAGAATTTCTGGTTAAACACATCTCTATTTTTTCTCATCTAAAACATTCTATTCTTTTCTATGTATGAGTAACTCATAAATTTTAGCTCAATACTCCGTACTTTAGGGCTTCCCTGGTGGCTCAGCAGTAAAGAATCCGTCTATCAATGCAGGAGATGTGGGTTCGATCCCTGAGTTGGTTGGGAAGATCCTCTGGAGAAGGAAATGGCAACCCACTCCAGTATTCTTGCCTGGGAAATCCCATGGGCAGAAGAACATGGCCGGCTACGGTCCATGGTGTCGCAGAGCCGGAAACAACTAAGCAACTAAAAACATGGCAAACAACTCCATACTTTACATCTTCATGTAGCTCTGATGCTCTGGAGTAGGGGGTTTCTCCATCATAATCATTCTTAAGTTGACACAAAGAGAAAAACAGTTAACCATACATCTAATCAGGAATGAAGGACTCCACTCTTAAAAGTCAACTTAAGTAGCTTTAGGAAACAGAACTTATTCATGAACTTAGGAGAAAATTCCTTCTGTGTTTCACATATTACCAAATCACAGGGTACCCAAGACTCAGGATGATGCTAAAACTCACATACTAGGCTTACAGTAAGCCACTCACTTGGCAATGATAATTAAAAGGTTTACTTTATTTCCTGAGAAAGCATCATAACATAATTCGTTGGCTGGTAAACTTGAGGAACTTAACCACCAAATTAAAAAGAAGACAGCATGGTAGGGTGGTATATGAGCCTTGGAGCTAAAATAACCCAGGTTTGACACCTAATTCTGTTACTTCTGGCAGTGTGACCTTATACAAGTTAACCTCACAGTTTCCTCATCAATAAAGCAGCTGTAATGCAACTTCATGAAGTTGTTTGGAGAGCTGAGACAATATATATAAAAGTCTAGTACACATGAACCTTCACCAAACAGCAGCTATAATTATCAAACCCCATGATAAACAATGAACTGGGAGAAAAGTTCTCTCTCTAGAAGGCAGCATGCTTCTTCAACAAGCTCTCTTATCAGAGTTAAGAGGAAAAGCACTATTAATAACTAAAAATTATGTCCCATTGCTTTTCTCTCATATCCATATGTGGTAAAATACACACCATTATTCATATTCAAACTACATTAATTTTTCTTATCTCTTATATCTACTGCTGCTGCTGAGTCACTTCAGTTGTGTCCAACTCTGTGCGACCCCATAGATGGCAGCCCACCAGGCTCCCCTGTCCCTGGGATTCTCCAGGCAAGAACACTGGAGTGGGTTGCCATTTCCTTCTCCAATGCATGAAAGTGAAGTCACTCAGTCGTGTCCAACTCTCAGCAACCCCACGGACTGCAGCCTACCAGGCTCCTCCATCCATGGGATTTTCCAGGCAAGAGTACTGGGGTGGGGTGCCATTGCCTTCTCCGCTCTTATATCTATAGGTTTCATTTTATCAATTAACCACTCTAAAATTTAGAAGACTCAGAGATCTTGTTAGATACAGATCAATAGGCTTTAAATAGATTTCCAATGAGCAGAGGGAGGAGTAAATCACATTGGGTCCTGATGCCCAATATAGGTTTTATTTATTTATATCCAATGTAGATTTTAATGCAGCTAAAAAGTAATTATTATTTGATAAAAAATATTTGTAAGGGACTAAGTATGTGATTCTATGCTAAGATATTCACTTAAAATATATACATTACTACTGCTAGTATTTAAATGAATCTATGAAGTTATCACCTGGAATATAACTATTTTTCCATCATCAGCTTGAAGATAAAAAGTCCACGAAGAGGTTATGAAGCTCTGTGCAGAGTCCACCATATCACTCCAGAATGATCTTACCAGAGTTAGAGGGAACAGTAGATGCATTTTTGGCATCAGGGACATGAGCTTAAAAAAAAAAAGATTAAATCAAGGTGAAGTATATTATTTTTTATATACACATATACAAAAGAACAATATAATCAAATCCTTATTTGGACAGAGTATAAAACAAGTGATTCCATTATCATCATTAGCATCAGAGTAAACTCTTCATTATCTATGCAATTAACCATGAGAAGCTTAAAGTCCTAGGATCCTTTAATGTACCACCTAATACAATATAAGCTACCTGTCACATCTATGAAAATAACAGGCTTTTGAATTAGGTCCAAAAATGCAGAGAATCTTAATTCTTCTCTTTTGATTAAATAAGGATTAACAAGGCCTCAAGAGGTAGAAGGGGAAGGGACAAATCTTTAATATCTTCATGTAAAAGGAACCATCCCGTAACACACACCAATGGAAAAAAGGAAGGTAAAAAATCAATCCAAGGAATATATGCATAAAATGTGAGATATCTGATAACAGGGCAGAGTGAGGGAAATATTTATGGGCTGACTACATACAGTAAACTACTGATGAGATTTTTACATTAACTGGTATCATCTCCCCTTCAATTCTGACTATTGACTAATTCAACAGCAGTGAGCCCCTCTAGAGAATAAGCATGAGACACCATTCACTGAACTCTAGGGATAGTTTTGGTTCTGGCTATATTTCAAAAGAAAGACAGTATGGGGTTATTAAGAGAGAAGAGCTTTTGGAATCAGAAGAGATTTGTATTCGTGATCTTATTTTTCCACTGAAAAGCTGTGAAATCATTCATTGATTAGTTCACTAAATAAGCATTCATTGAGATTATAAATTTTAAGAATCAGAAGCCATGTGTGTTTTATTTATCCACATATGTCTGTGTTTCATCTATGCAGGACAGAGGTGAAACACAGGGTGATACATGTGTATGGGGAAAAGCATCTAACCCGAATTGGGGTGAGAGGTGGTTAAGAAGGCTTCACAAAGGACATGATACTTGCCCTGAGTCAAAGGATTCACTAGGCAGATACAGAATAGAAGAAACAAGATATAAAGTCACGATGAACATATTACAAACATTAAGAACTTCTCAATTAAGAAAAAGGGAAATAAAAATGGGTCTTAGAAATTAGAAAATATGTTTAAAGTTACTTGTAAGAGAAACAGAAATTAAAACTGTAATGAAAGTAGTACACTGCTAAGGGCTGGCAGGAGGAGGAAAGGACAGTGACTGCTAATGGGTAAGAGATTTCTTTTTTTGATAATGAAAACGCTATGGAAGTAGTAATGATGGTTGCACAGTCTGGAATAGACTAAAAACTACTGCATTGAATACTTCAGAAGAATGATTTTTATAGTATGAATTATATCTCAATTTTAAAACTGGATAGAAACTCCACACAAGGCAATTTTGCTCTATTTCTCAAAATAAAAATGCATATACTTAACTCAGCAATTGTATTCCTATGACTTTATTCTCGAAATATAAATGTGAAAAATACGCATTATATGTAAATCTAAAAAATCAGAAACAACCCTACATGTCCATAAACAAGTGAAGTGAAAGTGAAAGTGAAGTCGCTCAGCTGTGTCCTACTCTGTGCGACCCCATAGACTGTAGCCTACCAGGCTCCTCCGTCCATGGGATTCTCCAGGCAAGAATACTGGAGTGGGCTGCCATTTCCTTCACTGCCAGAACTTACACAGGACTGGGAAATAGACTCTTGGAGGGCACAAACAGAACCTTGTGCACCAGGACCCAGGAGAAAGGAGCAGTGACCCCACAGGAGACTGACCCAGACTTGCCCGGGAGTATTCAGGAGTCTCCAGCGGAGGCGTGGGTCGGCGGTGGCCTGCTACAGGGTTGGGGGCACTGAGTGTAGCAGTGCATGCGTGGGACTTTCTGAAGGAGGTTGCCATTATGTTTATTACCTCCACCATAGTTTAAAGTGAAGGTGAAGTCGCTCAGTCATGTCCGACTCTTTGCCACCCCATGGACTGTAGCCTACCAGGCTCCTCCGTCCATGGGATTCTCCAGGCAAGAATACTGGAGTGGGCTGCCATTTCCTTCTCCAGGGGATCTTCCCAACCCAGGGATTGAACCCGGGTCTCCCGCATTACAGGCAGACGCTTTAACCTCTGAGCCACCAGGGAAGCCCCCATAAACAAGAGACTACTTAAATAAATGATACATCCATATAATGAAATAAACATGTAGTGGAAAAAAATGAGTAGACAGTCTTTAACTATACTTGTATTTTAGAAAAGAATACATGTATCCTTGTATAGTATAAAACACCTCTGCATTGGTAACCCTGGCCACATTAATGGAGGAAAATGGAGTGGCTAAGAGATACAGGGGTAGGAAACTTTTCACTATACAACTGATCTTTGAACAATGGCAGGGGTTAGGGGTGCTGAAATCTGTGAATATACACAGATTATAGTTGGTCTCCCATATTTGTGATTCAGCATCTGAGAATTCAACCAATTGTAGATCATGTAGTGCAGTATAATATTAAGAAAAAAAAATTAAGTGTAAATGGTCCTGCAGTTAAAATCCACATTTTTCAAGGGTCAACTGTATGTGTGTGTATATATATACATATTTTTTTCTCTTTTACCTTTTGAGTTTTGTACCATGTGGTTGTATTTCCTATGCCAAAGTTAATAAAACTCAAAAACTTTTCCCTGAATGTTTGGATAGAGTATGAGGGGTAGAAATTCTAAGAGATGATACAGAAGAGGTAATCAGAAGCCAGGCTGTGATAAATGGTTTGGACTTAAATCTGTATATAATCGGAAGCTACTGAAGTATATAAGATAGAAGAATCATGGCATGAGACTTCCATTTAGAAAATAAATATGCAGACACAGACTAAATGATAGACTAGAACGGGCTGATGTGGGAAAACAGATTGGCAGCTAATTTAGTAATACAGATGAGAAAAGATGCTGATCTAAGGTAATGGCAGGTAGGGTAAAAGGAACTCTCCATTTCTCTGAGCCTCAGTTTTTTCATATGCAGAATGGGGATAATATTGTCACCGGACCAAGAGAGAAAACAAAATGAGATTATGGGTGTGAACATACCTCTTAACATTAAAGCATTATACAAAAATAACTGACTTTTCTATTTGCAAAAATAATTTGCTTGCTGACGACTAATCATAATACTGAAATAGGATCATGTGAACAATATACATTTCAATACAAAGTGCAATCTAAGCAGGCATTTCTGAAGGGCAGTATTGTTTCGTACTTGTTCTTGTCTCAATTCTGCGTATGGCAGCTGATTCTGGCAACCAAGATGGCAAGCATATTGCTCATCAGATTGGGAATATGCTTCTGTACATGCTGGAAGAGAAAAACAGTAAATTACAAGAAAAAAAGAGAAGGAGAGAAAGAAAAGGGATAGAACAGAAAGTAAGGAATTTGGCATTTTATAAAGCAATTTATTATACTTAAAAAGTATTTCATTAATATGAATTTTCACATCTGGCAATAACAGCAAATGTTTTATTTTACTAAAATCCCATATCTTCTGCCTCCCACAAGTCAAATGTTTCAGGAATAGATGTATTAATTACACACTCAGGCTCTGGCTATATGATGACGTTCATATGAGGTGAACCTCATACCTAAGGTTTGCAGAAAAGGAAAAACACTGAATTGGCAACCTGAAATTCTGGCTCCATCCATCTGTTGGCTGTGTATGTGACCTAGGTAGAGCTATTTAACCTCTCTGACTATTGATTTTTATTATGTCTAAAACAGAATTAATACCACCTACTTTATGGGGTTGAACAAAATGATATACTTTAGTAATTTATACAAATATATGATATTACTGTTAAGAACTGGATCACTGAGTTCAGCAGCAAGGGTATTCACAAGGCAAAGAAAAATAAAACAATCAGTCTAACATCCTAAATTCTGAGAAAACTGAACTTTGAAAATGTTCTGCAGCAGGATTCCAAACTTGGAATTAGTCTCTACCACATATATGCTCTTCATTTAGTTTACTAGTGCCATTTCTTTCCTGTGATATAACACTTTACACCACAATTTTATTTTTCTTTCCACCCAGTCATGCATTTGTAGTATACTTCTCAAAGGTACCAGATAATAAACTGAACAGTATTATGCACATATAAAGATGGCCAGTTAGGAGACTGAGCCATAAAAAAAGAGGTTATGATATCACACAGGGTAGATGGAAATAGTGGCATAGTGATAGGGAGAAAGCTACCTCACTGCACTGAATAAACAGTGTAAGGTAATGAATGAAGAAAATTCCATTATAGTTTTTAAAAAGCCAAATATCAATTTTGTCCTGATTACAGGTTTCTTTTATTAAACACATTGCTTTGGGCAAAAGGTAAGAATAGTGGCTTAAGAGATGACAAAGACTCTAGTTACTTCTTTTATTGGCATGACTCACAAAGAATACACTATTAAATACTGAGTCAAAGGCCTGATTCAGTAAAAAAAAAACAAACTTGGGAGCTAAGTCAACTAGCCTATGATTGAAAGGCTTAGGAAAATTATACTATCCACTGAAAGGATAGTGATGAATTATGAGAAGGGTAATCACTATTACATTTGTCTAAACCAAATACTTGGTTAAACAAAGGTGTTCCTATCTATAGTACAAAATAAATACTGTCTCAACAAATAGATGAAATTTAAAGCCCATGAAATTTCTAGCAGCAGCTCCTAGAAGTTCAACTTTATAATAATTAAAATATGCTTGATGATTAGTTTAAATAGTATGCTTGTCATTTTCCAAGGAAAATACGTAAAAGCATAACACAACTCAAAGAAAACACCAATGTTATATACTGCTGATGTCATTAGCATAGCATCTTACCAGATTCACATTCCAATTTGGTCCGATTTAAATCAATTCCATCATCCACAAACTGACAAATTGAAAACAGCCTGCAACCTCTCTGACATGCGTACAACTCCTCTTCCTAGGGAGGTCAAGAACAGGAAGGATTAACAAAAAAAATAGTATTTTTCCCTTATGGGGGAAAAAGTCAAAAAGAAAGCAAAGTTAGTAGGGTTTATTATAAATTGTCCAATAAAAGTTTTATAACTGAAAGAAAAATGATAGAAGTCAGGTAATACTTAAGGCTATATAGTCTGCCGCATAAAGAAGTTTTAATTTCTTACTTTAACAGTGATATCCAAAACAAATAATAAGTGATATCAAGAAATCGAGTGCATAAAAACATCACCCTTTTCCTACATCCATGGTCATATTTTTTGGGGAAAAGTTGAAAATAAAAATAACAGTGACATAATCAGAACTTTAATAGAGGGAAAAATGAGAAAACAAGTACTTTAGGACCAATGGTGTACTTCTGCCACATAAATATTTATACAAATCATCAGGCCTATCAGGAAAAATATCATGACTAGTTTTACATAGCATAAAGGCCCCCACAAAGTGAGGTACACATTTAGAAAAATGCTTAAATGAAAGGATTTTTTAAAACTCAGTTTACCTGAACTGAAAACAGAAACAAAGGCAACATGTGACATATGGAAAAGGCCACTGGAATCAGCCAGGCTTAGATTAAAACCTTTCAGGTCAGCATGCACATTACTTTACCTATCTACTGATAAATGTCAAAAAGGAAATAAAAGCTATAAATTACTTCTAAACCCCTCAACAATGCTGGAAGACAGCTATTCCTAGTGCAGTGCCCGGAACATTGAAGGTGCTCAATAAATGGTAGTAGTGTTAATCATAATAATACATTTTAAAAACAGAAAACAACAGTTGTAGGCATCATAGTATTTGTGTGAGCACTCAAGAGAAGATTCTTCATTGCTGGAAAATGTGAACAGCTCAGTAAGACTAATGATAATGTCTTCAACAGGCTTTCCTGTGGTGAAATGTATAGTATTTGAAACAACCCAGTATATGTGGGGAAGCCCCCTCAACTTACTGTGTGATCCACTGTGTACAAACTGGCAGGCACCTAATAAGGAAGGAAACAGCATGTGCATATACCAGTTAGCAACCAATGGAATACAAAGTTATGCATTTCTTTCCAGCAGGATTAGTAAAATCTGTGCAGCAGCAACAATCTGTTAAAAGGAGATGGCTGCAGTCTAGTATTTATTGTTGTTCAGTCACCAAGTCATGTCAGACTCTTCACGACCCCCTGGACTATAGCACACCAGGCTTCCCTGTCCCTCACCATCTCCTGGAGTTTGCCCAAGTTCATGTCTGTTGAATCAGTGATGCCATACAACCATTTCATCCTAATTGTCTAATATTAAACAATCTTTATTATACAACTTTGAAGGTAGTGCATTTCTGGATGTCAGTTCTAGCTGCATTTATTGTTACAGTGAAATTGAAGGAGTTTTAACCATTAAAGTAAATTTTATACCTGAGTAGCTTTTATAAGACAGTAGAATTCTCTCATGTCTTTGGAGCACCACATACTTCCTACTATGGCACGGAGAAGTATGAGCTCATTAGTATGAGCTATACTGCAAGCCATTTTACTTTCAGATATGTTTTCTTTTATTAAACCAATCCAATAAGCCCTCCAGTACGATTTTCAGAAGAGAGTGTAGCATGGTAAAAGAGTCTAGGTTCAGGAATTAACCCTGGTTAGTCACTCAGCCTCATCATTTATTCTGCACAACCTTAGGCAAGGGCCTTAATCTCTTTCAGCCTCAATTGCCTTAGTTGTAGAACACTGACAATACTTACATGTCAATCCTGAAATATGATGAGGATTTTGTATTTTATTTACATATTATTTTATATCCATAGCATCATTAATATTATGCTATATGATCTAATAAACAGATATGACATTAATAATATATTTTGTGAGTACCCACAATGTACCAGGTATGGTGTTAACACTTAATATCATAGGACACCTGGCACAGAGCAGGCACTCAACTGGTAGCAATTAAGTCATATCCTTGTTCTAAATAAATGTTTCATGTTTCATACAATGTTTCATGCCCTATGCATCCAAAATTACTGGCAAGCTTATATAAAATATACCTTCTCTAATTTAGACCAAATCCTCCTTAAAGGAACCCTACTATCTATAGAGTTTACACGCATTTTCTTATCCTGAGCTAAGTCAAGCTAACTATTCTCTTATTCAGCATTAATATACTGCACATACCAAACGCCTTATGACATCTGACAAAGGAAAAAACTGTTGCCATGTGTTAGGTACTGTGCTAAGAGCACCATGTATATTATCTTTAATCCTCACACTTACTCCGCAAGGTGTAAGGATTTTTTTTTTTTACAGTTGACAAAATGAAGTCTGAGAAGTGATTATCAAGGACACACAGGTATGTAAACTGTAAAGCTGGGAATGAAACAAGGTTTGTAAGGTTCCAGAGCCCACACTCTTAAAAATGACCAGGCTGACTCTAATTACCTTTAGTATTAACAGGACTTATGCCTCCTGTATTTGGACCCAGACAAGTTACACAATTCTACCTCTGAGGAAGGTGAAAGGATGAAATATGATAATTTTTAAGTACCTACTACAAACAAGTAAAGTACCAAGCTTTCTTGCAACAAATAATTTTGAAAGAGTCATTAAAAAGAGATTTCTATTTGCCAGTCACAAATACCAGACCAAGAGAGGCTTTAGGAGCTTGTAAACTTAAATAATGTAACACCCACTGCTTTTTTCCAAACCATAAAGCACAATAATTTGACAGAGGACCAAAGGACATCAGTAAAATAATTAAATATCTTTAATCTACAACTTTATTAATAGAAAGCAGTACAGTGTAGCCAGTTTTAGGATTGAATTCCTGCTACTCCACTACTTCTTGGTTATGTGACCTAGGTCAAGCCACTGAACATTTCAGAGCCTTGACTTCCTCAGCTGAAAAGCCCAACTTGGCAGGGTGAGAATTAGGGATAATGGAGGTAGATCTCCCATCATACTGGCTAATAAGACAGCAGGCAGTTTATAAACTTTAAGTCCAGGACAGGAAACTAGGTGATTTAGAATTCCTGGGGAGAATAGTTCTACTGAAAAAGTAAGAAAGATTTATAGATATCACATCAATTGTTAGAAAGTAGTGGATATTATAAAAGTACTCAGAGGTTCCAGAAATGTCTAACCTTTTAAATTGCTTATTCTACAGCATATGTACTCAAGTAACTACAAATATGCTAGGAAAATCTCAAAAAAAGGGCGGGGGTGGGGGGTGGGAGGTGTGTGGGAGGGAAGGCCAGTACATCCAAACACTATAAAGATACAAAATAAATCACTGCCCAATTCCAGGCCAAATCATTATTAATTTCCTCATACAATCCTCTTACTTATGAGCGATTTTATAAAAAGAGAAGAAAATAATGTATTCAGGAACACTACACATTGATTTAAAAGTCTAGAAGCCAGAATTCCTCATTTTTCTCTCTCTTGATTGCTAACGATATATTTGTCTCTGATAATTTGATAATACCCTCTCCCACACTTTTTCTTGAAGACTGATAATCCTCAAGCAGTGTAAAACCCAGCAGTAAACAGATATATGGGCAGAAATAGCATTTAGAACTTTTCATTTCAAAAGCCTGAAAGCACTTGCCAATAAGGAACATCCTAAACTTTTTCTCCTAGTCACTTGGTAGTTTGAGAGAGCAAAGAGGCCTAGCCACATGGTTAAGCACATAGCATAGGGAAGACAAAGCAAAAACAAGGGCAGAAAGACCAGCGCAAGCTGTTATAAAGTCAGTGGTGTGGGGGGCGGGGCTTACACCCAAATCACATATTTGGAAGGGTGGGGGACAAACCACGCAATTTAGGATGCTCAGTCAATAGTTCTTAAGCTGCAAAAATAACTTGAGAAGTGGAATGGAATTAAAGGAAAGGCTGCACCCAGGGGCGGACAAGGAGGGGAGGAAGGGTCACTCTCTTCGTAATATGTGATCCGCTGCGAGGGCCAGTCTCATTTCTTTCCCACTCTCCACCGAAAGGTAAGTTCTCTGAATGTAGAAACCTGACTGCTTTTTCTCTAAGCCGTCCCAGTCCCAGTGTCAGCACCTAGCACAGTTACTTAACACAGGCGGAAAGCTCTTGCTGAGTGTCTCCCCACTCCTTAATACATTTCATACTATGGTGGAATTATCTACTTGTCTGACTCCAGGTACAGACTGCAGGCTTCCAGCCCAGAGAGGCGCTAAGGGAAGAGGGGGTTAGGAACTAACCTTTTAGTGGACTGGCGTATCTGCAACTTTCCCCCCTCCGCCCCGCCATGCCTGTAAAGTGAGGACCCTGCATTAATCATCTGGATCCTCCTTCCCCTCCGAGCGTTCTTCTTCCCCGCCTTCCCCGCAAAACCCCAGAAAAAAAGGGGTCGTGTCTTGCTTATTTTTCTGTCCCCGGCCTATTACAGGATAGGCGCGGCACAAACTTCCGGTAATTACAGCAGGAGCGGGATGCGGGTAGGATTAGGGAAGAAAACAGGAGCCACATAGATGGGAGACAAAGGTTGAAGGGTGGATTCAACATCAGGCTCCCAGAAATGACAGAGGTGCGGGAGAGCGGAAAGGAGGGCGGCCAGGGAAGGGCTGTAGCCCGGTTCGGACGGGCCCTACCTTGGGGTAGGTGTGCAAGGGATACGTCAACTGACAGGCCCGGTGACAAGACGCCGTATCACCCAAGACCGAGTCAAACGCTTCAGCCGAAGCGGTTCCCGAGCCTCCGGCCAGAGCCATGGCCAGCAGCAGCAGCGGCGAGATCCCCAGTTGGGCCCTGAGCCATAGTCTCCCCTTCGGCACCGCCATTTTGTTTGCCTCTGTCACAGCAGCACAGCTTGTTGCTGTTTTCTTTTCAAGGTTCCTCCTCCTTCCGGGACCAGCCCCTTCCCCGCCCCGCGGGCCGCTGCTTCCGCCTCTGTAGTCTTCACAGCTCCGCCCTGACCCGTCCGAAACTGCCGCCTCCCGCCCCACCTCTAAGAACTCCGAGGTTGGCGAGAGGAAGTGGATCCAAACATCGCGAGTACTAGAGCGAAACGACTCCTCCCTCTGCGAGGCATGCTGGGGCATGTAGTTCTCTTCAAGCGGGAGGCACCCAGTGGTTGGGGAACTTGGTCTCGGGGAACTACCAGCTGCCCTAGGCGCTCCCGAGCCTGCCCATTCGCGGTGTATTCTGGGGAATGTGGTTTGGCTCACCCCGCCGCCCCCTCCCCCCAACCACCGTTGGCTGGCCTCGTACTTCAGCTGGCTGGCGGAGCTTTTGCCGAGAAAGTGCCAACCCTGAAAGGTGTTCAGACCCCCTAAGGCCCAGGCTTGGGCCCTCAGAGGGTGCGTGCTGGAGAGGCCCAGCTGTTTGGCAGGGCTGCTTTTCCTGGTGGGTCTCACGTGCCATCGTTAGCCTTCCCCTTCCTGGGCTCCTGAGTGCTGAAGTCAGAGGAAGGTGGTGTTTCCCGTTGCTATGGGATTAGAGCAGGACAGTCTTTAGGGTCCTTTGACCGTGGAGCATTTCCTGGAGATGAGGACCCTGCTGAGATCTGGAGGAGGTTGTTGGATATTGGTTACAACGGGAACCCTTGGGGTTGTGGCTATGGTACGGTAGTTGTTAAGAGAGCTTCACTGAACCTGGGGGAAAGCGAACCCAACCACAACACAACCTAAGATGGAAGAGGCTTTAGAAGTCACCAGGTTCAACGCCTGGCCCTCTCCTGGTAGCCTCTTTACAGGTGCACTTCGGAAAGCTAGTCACCTCTTAATTCAGGAAGTAGACCGAACATTGTATACAATTTTCAGTTTTTAGGAAAATGTTTCTTTTTTAAGAGGAAACCTTCTTTTAAATTCCACCCAAGGGTTCTAATAATTCAAGAATGCTTCCAGAGTGTGGGAGCACACATCACTGAAGTTTTGATGACATTCTAGAACCTGCCCTCTTTGTTGAGCAGAACACGGTACAAGCACGTGAAGGTAGTTGGAGTCCCCTAGGAATGGATAAATTCGTCATTCGAACACCCAGAATCCAGAATAGTCCTCAGAAGAAAGATCCTGGAGGAAAGATTTACAAGCAGGCCACCATTGAATCTCTGAAGGTGAGAGGGGATCCGGGAGTGGAGAAAATGTGCAAAGGACTGGGATGGCAAGGAGGTCTGGAGTTCTACTATGTAAGACCTTTGAGTTCCTTATTTCTGTGCTTTTTCCCCACTGTGTTCCTGACCACTCCAAATTCGTTTCCCCCATACTCTACCAATTTCTGGACCTTTGTTACACCCTTCTAATTACTTTAGCTTTGTGGTATGTTTCACTAACTGGTAGGATACATCCTCTTAAATTATTCTTCTTTTGCAAGATGTTCTTGTCTATTAAATGGAATGTTCGTGTACCAAATATGATTCGTGTACCCTGTACAAACTCAGTAAGACTGGGTGATGATACCACCCCTCATCATATTGACCGGAACTGTATCACGTGGCCTTCACAGCCACAGCTGAGACTGAAAAAGAGACTGTTAAACTGGACTCTTTGCAACCTCAAACTGTCTGACTTATGTTGACAAGGAAGAGGCAAGGCATCATGAATACAGTATAGACAACCAACAGTGAATCAATGAATGTAAGAACCCAATTAATGGTAGTTACTGCTTCACTTAATAGTGAAGGACAGGGGAGTCTGGCGTGCTGCCGTTCATGGGGTTGCAAGGAATTGGCCACGGGTTAGCGACTGAACAACAAGAAGTTTCTTCACTAAAAACAAGCAGAAAACTGCTTGCAATTATTTCTCTTTGTCTTCTTGAGCCTCTCCTAATTTATGCACTTCTTCTTTCTGATTTCCTTTATTGCTTCCTCTTTTCTCCATTAGACTGCTAATGTTTGTGCTTTGCAGAGCTTTGTCACATTTTATGTATTCGGCCAGGGTAATCTTACTCATCTTGAGGCTTGCCGTGCTGATGACTGCCAAACTTGCACCTCTGGCCTAGGTCTCTGAAGAGAATGGGATCAGGGGCTAGAGAAAAATTTACAAAGACTGTGATAATGTGGGGGGGCCTTCTGAGTACTTGACTTAAGTACTCCTGACTTAAGTACTCCGTTGGGCTTTTAGATATACCACACGTTTATCAGACCCAGATTAGGAAGTGGTATAGGGAAGTGTAAACAAAAACCCTGGGTTCTCGGCCTCCTGTGCAGTTGGGTGATCTTTAGCAAGTCATTTTCTAAACTGGGATCTCATTTTGTCCTTATCTAGGAAATGTGGTGGTTGACCTATGTCATTATGTCAGAGTTTCTTCAAACAAACACTCTTGTCCTTTCGGGCAAGATGATTCTTCCTCATTTGACACTGTCCTGTGAATTTTACAAAGTTGAGTATCTCTGGCCCTCGGACACTAAATGCCTGTAACACCTCCCATTGTGATGACCAAAAATGCCCTCACGTGTTTACAAGTAGGCCGTAGTTAAGACCTACTAAGCTCAAGATGATCTTAAAATCTCCCCTAGTTTTGCAGTTTTGTGAATTCCTAGAACACATTCAGGTGTTTCAACTGTTTGCTCAGAGTATCCAGGAATAATTGTAGACTGTATATTGTATACAGTCACTACTGTATATAATTCTCAGAGATGGTGGTGGACAGGACTGTGGTATCAGACTGTCTGGAAGAAAAAAAGGGATAGTAGTAATTGACCTACATGTACACTCAACATACAAACACCCAGATTCTAATATGCCTTCACTTGTCCCTTCTGCCCTTGGTGTCTCCCTGTGGGTCCCAGTTGAGAATCACTGTGTGTGATGATGAGAATAAGTCATGTGAAGATTGTGGAGTCAGAATAAACAACAGGCATATGAAGTAACATTCTCTTCGGTGCAATGGCTTTTCTTCCAAAACTTCTCCCATATTTATTTTATCCATATACCAAGTAACTGGGACTAGAATTTAGAAACCACCCTTAATTCTTCCTTATATCCAGTTTTCAATTTTGTCTGCTAAAAATCCTTTCTGCCCTTACATCTTTCTCTTTAAATTTCAAAATCTTTTTGAATTTAGAGCAGTTCTGTAGTCTGTTAACTTTCTCTCCCTGACTTTGGCATCCCCTATCATTCCAACCTCCACACTTAAGTCAGAGAAATAAGGCTTAAAAAAAAAATAAAAAACTACTCAGGTCACCTCCTTACCAAAGGAAACCCTTCCCTCAGTGGTTTCAAATTACCTTTCGATAAAGACATTTCTTTACATGACACCAAAGGCCCTCTGTGACCTGGTACCTGCCTGCCCTGCTACTCTTCTTATTTACCTTCCGTCCAGTGTCAGCTATTCACAGTTTCTCAAAGATGTGTTCTTTCATACCTCTGTATCTTTGCATTTGCTGTTCTGTTTTCCTTGAATGGCTTTTTTCTCTTGTCTTAGAGGCAGTATGGTGTAGTAATTAACACAGACTCTGGAGCCAAACTGCCCATGTTAAAATTCCAACTCTGCCACTTAAACTACCTGTGTGACCTTGGGCAAGTTATCCTCTCTGTGTCTTTCCTTATCTGTAAAATGGGATTAATAATAATATCTATTTAATAAATGAAGTGTGAAGTGAAAGTCATTATTTTATTATATAATAACCTACATGGAATTCTTCAGGCCAGAATACTGGAGTGGGTACCCATTCCCTTCTCCAGGGGATCTTCCCAACCCAGGGATCGAACCCAGGTCTCCCGCATTTCAGGTGGATTCTTTACCAGCTAAGCCACCAGGGAAGCCCAGATAAATAGATAAGCAACTAGGATATACTGTATAGCACAGGGAATTCTAGCCATTATTTTATAATAACCTAAAATAAGCCTCTTATCCTTCTCTATCAAAGGGCAGACAGAATGAAAATCAATTCCACAGAAAACTAACCAATCTGATCACAAGGACCACAGCCTTGTCTAACTCAATGAAGCTATGAGTCATGCCGTGTAGGGCCACCCAGGATGGGCCAGTCATGGTGGAGAGTTCTGACAAAATGTGGTCCACTGGAGAAGGGAATGGCCAACCACTTCAGAATTCTTGCCTTGAGAACCCCATGAACAGTATGAAAAGGCAAAAAGATAGGACTTTGAGAGATGAACTCTCCAGGACTGTAGGTGCCCAATATGCTACTGGAGATCAGTAGAGAAATAACTCCAGAAAGAATGGAGAGATGGAGCCAAAGTAAAAACAACTCCCAGTTGTGCATGTGACTGGTGATGGAAGTAAAGTCCAATGCTGTAAAGAGCAATATTGCATAGGAACCTGGAATGTTAGGTCCATGGATCAAGGCAAATTGGAAGTGGGTCAAACAGGAGATGGCAAGAGTGAACATAAACATTTTAGGAATCAGCAAACTAAAATGGACTGGGATGGGTGAATTTAACTCAGGTGACCATTATGTCTACTACTGTGGGCAAAAATCCCTTAGAAGAAATGAAGTAGCCATAATAGTCAACGAAAGAGTCTGAAATGCAGTACTCAGATGCAATCTCAAAAATGACAGACTGATCACTCTCTGTTTCCAAGGCAAACCATTCAGTGTCACAGTAATCCAAGTCTATGCCCCGACCAGTAATGCTCAAGAAGCTGAAGTTGAATGGTTCTATGAAGACCTACAAGACCTTCTAGAATTAACACCCAAAAAAGATGTCTTTTCATCATAGGGGACTGGAATGCACAAATAGGAAGTCAGGAGATACCTGGAGTAACAGGCAAATTTGGCCTTGGAGTACAAAGTGAAGCAGGGCAAAGGCTAACAGAGTTTTGCTGAGAGAATGCACTGGTCATAGCAAACACTCTCTTTCAACAACACAAGAGAAGACTCTACACATGGACATCACCAGATGGTCAATACCGAAATCAGATTGATTATATTCTTTGCCTCCAAAGTTGGAGAAGCTCTCTACAGTCAGCAAAAACAAGACCAGGAGCCGACTGTGGCTCAGATCATGAACTTATTGCCAAATTCAAACTTAAATGGAAGAAAATAGGAAAAACCACTAGATCATTCGGGTATGAGCTAAATCAAATCCCTTAGGATTATACAGTGGAAGTGACAAATAGATTCAAGGGATTCGATTTTGATAGAGTGCCTGAAGAACAATGGATGGAGGTTCGTGACATTGTACAGGAGGCAGGGATCAAGACCATCCCCAAGAAAAAGAAATGCAAAAAGGCAAAATGGTTGTCTGGGGAGGCCTTACAAATAGCTGAGGAAAGAAGAGAAGCGAAAGGCAAAGGAGAAAAGGAAAGATATACCCATTTGAATGCAGAGTTCCGAAGAATAGCAAGGGGAGAATAAGAAAGACTTCCTCAGTGATCAGTGCAAAGAAATGAGAAAAACAATAGAATGGGAAAGACTAGAGATCTCTTCAAGAAAATTAGAGATGCCAAGGGAACATTTCATACAAAGATGGGCACAATAAAGGACAGAAATGGAATGGACCTAACAGAAGCAGAAGGTATTAAGAAGAGATGGCAAGAATACACAGAAGAACTATACAGAAAAGATCTTCATGACCCAGATAACCACAATGATGTGATCACTCACCTAGAGCCAGACATCCTGGAATGTAAAGTCAAGTGGGCCTTAGGAAGCATCACTATGAACAAAACTAGTGGAGGTGATGGAATTCCAATTGAGCTATTTGAAATCCTCAGAGATGATGCTGTGAAAATGCTGCACTCAATATGCCAGCAAATCTGGAAAACTCAGCAGTGGCACAGGACTGGAAAAGGTCAGTATTCATTCCAATCCCAGAGAAAGGCAATGTCAAAGAATGCTCAAACTACTGCACATTTGCACTCATCTCACATGCTAGCACAGTAATGCTGAAAATTCTCCAAGGCAGGCTTCAAGAATACGTGAACGGTGAACTTCCAGATGTTCAAGCAGGATTTGGAAAAGGCAGAGGAACCAGAGTTCAAATTGCCAACATCTGTTGGATCATCGAAAAAGCAAGAGAGTTCCAGAAAAACATCTGCTTTATTGACTACACCAAAGCCTTTGTGTGGATCACAGCAAACTGTGGAAAATTCTTCGAGAGATGGGAATACCAGATCACCTGACCTGCCTCCTGAGAAGTCTGTATGCAG